TACATTCTCCTCAGCCATGTAAAAGGATTCCAGGTTTTCAGCATCCTCATCAACATTTGATAATTTCCATTTTTAAAAAAATTACAGCCACTTTAATATGTATGAAACCTTATCTCTTGTGGTTTTGGTATACATTTCTCTAATGGCCAATGGTGTTAAGGATCTTTCCATGAGCATATTGACCTTTTATAGCTTCTCTGGAGAAATATCTATTCAATTACTTTCCCTGTTTAGTATTTTTTATTAATACATATTTGTGATACACTGGAATTACATTCATTTTGGGAGTTAATGAGTATACATACTGCATCTTAATCATTTTTACTCCCCTCCCCCATCCCATCATTCCCTCTTTCCCCTTTCCCAGGTCCCCTTCCCATGCCCATAGAGTCTACCTTCCTGTTTCTTATGTAATAGTAGAGATTCCTCAAAAAACTAACACTAGAGGTTCCATTTGACCTAGCTATTCCTCTTCTTGGTATCTTCCTGAAGTAATTAAAAGTATCATACCACAGGGATATATACACACCCATTTATATCAGCACAATTTGTAATAGCCAAATCTGGGAAACAACCCAAATACCCATCAATGGAGAAATAGTTAAAGAATATATGGGTTTTTCTATACAATGGAGTACTACTCTGCCATAAAGAAGGATGAACGAGACATTTATAGCTAAATGGATGGATGCACCTTGAGACCATACTCCTAAGTGAAATAAATCAGGCACACATGTTTAATCACCACATTGTTGCTCTAGTGTGAGAAACCAAAAGTGTAAATAAGGACCAAAATGGGAAAATAAGGATCAAATTTGGAAATGGGAAGAAACCGTTCAAATGGAAAAGGGAACAAGGGAGAGCGGAGGGGGAAAGGAAGGAAGGGAAAAGAAAAAAGAGAATAGAAGGAAAAAATGGAAACAAAGCTTTTGTAAATAAGGAGGGGAACAAGGGTTGAAGGGAGGGGAGGGGATGGGGAAAAAAGAATCAAGATATATTATGTATGGGTACAAATTCCCTATGATGAATGTGATCACTATGTATATCTAAATGTACCAATAAAAATAATTTTAAAAGGTCTATTCATTTTCTTTCAAATGACTCAAATTTATCCTTCTTTACATCTGATTATTACATCATTATGTGTGTGTGTATATATATATATATATATATATATATATATATATATACCACATTTTCTTCATCCATTTATCTGTTGATGGACATACAGACCACTTCCATGATTTAGCTACTGTAGATTGTGCTGCTATAAACATGGATCTGCATGTATCACTCTAATATGGTGACTTTCAGGAAGATACCCAGAAAAGGTATAGCTAGGTCTAATGGAATTTCTATTTTTAATTTTTTGAGCAATCGCCATACTGATTTCCACAGTGGTTGAACGGGTTTATATCCCTACTAGCAATGTAAAAGGATTCTTTTTTCCTCAAGCCTCATTGCATTTGTTGTTCTTTTAGCCCTTGATACTTCCCCATTTTTAGAAATTGGATTATGTGTTTGTTTGTTGTTGAATTGCAAGAGTTCTTTTTATATACTAGATACTAGAACTTTATCAGATATCTGATTTGGAAATATTTTATGCAATTATATGTGTCACCTTTTCATGTTAATAGTGTTATTTGATGCACAAAATTTTTAATTTTGATGAAATCCAACTCATCTATTTTTCTTTTACTCTTTCCAGTTTTGTTTTCATATTTAAGATAGTACTGCCTAATCCAAGTCACAGAGATTTGCACCTATGTGTTTCTTCAGTAGTTTAACTCTTGCACCTAAGGGCTGTGCTCATTTTAGGGTTAGTTTTCATTATTTGTGTTGGATGGGCTTTCAATTTCAGTTGTCCTGACATCATTTGTTGAAAAGATGATTCTTTCCTCCATTAAATGGTTTTAGTATCCTCACTGATAATCAGTTGATCATAAATCCTTGAGTTTATTTCTGGACCCTTGAATCTATTCATCTATGTGTCTCTACTTGTTGGTGCTACACTGTTTTGATCACCAAAACTTTGTGGTACCTTTTGAAATATGAAAGTGAAGGTCTTTTAACTTCGTTTTTTTTTTAAAGTTTGTTTGGCTATTTGGGGCCTCTTGAAATTCCAAATGAATTTTAGGATTAGCTTATCTATTTCTGTAACAAAAACAATTGGAATTTTGGTAGGGATTGTATTTTGCTCAGGATTGTATTGAATCTATAGATTACTTCGTGAAGTATTGTCATCCTAACAATATTAAATATTCCAATCCAAGAATATGAGATGGATTTTTATTCACTTATGTCTTCCTTGATTTCTTTCAACATGTTTTGTAGGTTTCCATGCATAAAAAGTTTTATTTTTGATCAGTCATTACTAAAATATTAGTTTTGTGATCAGAATCTAGTCCCAGCAAGAAGGTTCTACAGGGCACTGCATTTCACACCATTGTGGCAGATATGGAGACGGGCTGCTCATATCTTTCTTAAAGAAAGGACTCACTGTGGAGTTCCAAAGAGTCGGGTTAGCTGAAAATGCTCAGCTGTCAACTTCACCAGGGTCTGCTTCAATTTTTAAGACAAAATTCCACTGTTCTCAGGAAAACCCTTGGCCAGCAATGGACAAGGTACTGGAAGCTGAGGACAATGCTATTCTCAGGACAATCTCTGGCCCATGATTTGAAAGGCAGTAGATGGTACAAGGCCTGACTTCCACTCAAAGAGTGGCTCCTCTAAAAAGCATTCTAGGGCTGGGGATTTAGTTCAGTGGTTTCACCGCCTGCTGCGCAAATGCAAGGACCCGAGTTCGATCCCCAGTATCAAAAAAAAAAAAAAAAAGGCATTCTATTCTAGAGCCCCTATTGGGCTGGTAGAAATCTTGTCAAGTCTGCATTGGGATCCAATATCTGCTCTTGACCAAGCTTGATTCCCTCCTTTATTCCCCATGCATAGCTCCCCAGCTGCCCATTTGAATTCCTAAGTCTGTCCTGACATCTGCTTTCTAGGGAATCCCATTTGTATAAAGCCATCTTACTCTCTAGTCTGGCTCACTGGTTAGCACATCACTGAAATTCTAAAAATGCTTCCAAATAGAAGAAAGGTACTCTCTGTTTTTCCAGTCCTGAGGATGAAATTCAAGGCTTCAGTCACCTTAGACAACTGCTCTACCATTGGGCTACATCCCCAGCTTGGAAAGACCCTCTTGATGCAGAATCCTGAGCACACAAGAGGAGTCTTAATCCTTTTGTTGCCATTAAGGAGTAATTTTTTGTCATTGACCCATGTAGCAGGATCTTTAAGCATAGAAATGAAGATGCATTTCTCTTTTTGAAAGTTTAGATGGAATCTGTTGATAGTGGGATCAGTTTGAATGGTAAAGTGCCTAGGTTTATATTATCCAAGGAAAGAGAATGTTATTTTTCCAGAAGTTCTTTATGTGGACCATTGTGGTCAAAGCTGAGTGAGAAAATATGACAGTAATAGGAAATGAGGCCAGAGAACTGACTTCAAGTGTTTGAAAAGTAGAGAATTTTTCTGTGATGCTTTTCAAGGAAAAACTTGGATGCTAACTTCTTATTATTCAAGGCTCATCTTAAATGTCACTTCTTCCAGGAAGGCTTCTCTAAATCTCCTCTCCTTTACCTCCAAGACTTGATACAGTCAGTATGTACTCCTATATCACTCTGCATTTCTTTGCAATATTTTGTGAAGGCAGGTCTAGGTCTGATTCATTTCTTGGTATTGTTTCTTCAACACTAAGATCAGTCCCAGGCTCACAGGAGGTGCCTAGTAAACCTTTGCTGAGTGAAAGAAGAAACAAATAAGCTTAATAGGTAGAAGTTAGAAAAGGAAGAGATATGGATTCCATTAGAACACTTGATAACACTGTTAGCATTGAACTACGTTCAACAGTGAAATGGGCTGGTTCAAAAGAGTAAAGAAAACAAATCCAAGTTTTTTACCCTCTGGTCCTATGGATTTCCATGACACCAAAGCTTCCTTAAACTCATTATATCTATCCTCCTGCTTACCTTGTGTTTCTGTCTGCATCTTCCTCCTCCACTTAGAGGGACTTGAGTTTTTTCCTAATGAGGATAAGGAAAGGAATTCTGATGTAGAATTGATTTTTCATCTGCTAGGAAATCAAATAAAGTCAGAATATTAAGGAGCTACCCAGAAGAATAGAATTTTGACTTCTCTCATGCTCTAAGGTATTTCCTTAACAGCAAGTACCATTTATGAAGCAGAGACACTGTAATAAATATGACGTACAAATCACAAATTCTCAAGTTCCACTGCTAGGTGGGAATTGTTATTTCTCAAATATGAAAAATCCATGGAATTCAGAGCTAGCTGCTCAAGAAAGCCAGCCTAGGCATACAACCAGCTCAGTGGAGGGATACTGACCCCAAACAATGGGCCTGAGTGTCTTTGTGCCCCGTGCAATAGGACTTGGATGATTCTGACAAACAGCCCCCAAAATTAGATGTAACACTCATGTTTGGACGAGTCCCACAACCATGTAGCACCTAGAAGTCTGTAACAAACAAATGCAATGTTTTTGCTAATTTTATTATCCAGATTTTTAATAGTCTGGAATAAAGGGGAATGACATTCAGAAGTACCTCCTAAATCAACAGAGAGAGATTCAATTATTTTTGCTGTCATTTGTGTTGTCTGTACTTTGAAGAATGCTAATTTTCTAAAAATTAGTTACTGGAATATGATAAAAGAAAAGTCTCCCCCCTAATCAAGTAAGTAATCATTCCCTGAAAGGCTCAGTGGTGGGAAAAACTCAAACCCTTGAAGCTTAGGATCTTTTCTGGGAAATTGGGTTACACTGTGTAACATAACAGGTGCAAGTGTGAAAGCCCTGATAATATTTTTATAGTTATAAGAAAACAAAGTTGGTATCTAAATAAGGAAATGGCAGAAGACAGTTTGTGCATATCAAATTTTTGGCAATGGGTCATTTATAATTAATCTTCCTGCATTATTCTCAGCTCCCCAGAAAACGTGCGAGTGCAGTTTTGCCAACTTCCGAGCAATCAGTCGCAACGATGAGTGAGTGTTGGTCTTCATGGAATCCAGAACAAAAGCAGAGGTATGTTGAAGTGTCAGGCAAGGCCAAGTGATCAGCAGTCAACTCTGGTGAACTCAAGTGCAGCTGAGGCTTTGCTGTGCTGTTCTGAAAGGTCTCATGGGAACCCAGAGAAAACCGAACAGCAGGCCCCACAAGAGAACCAAGAGCTAACAGGATAGTGGTTACAACCTCAGGCTCCTCCAATTGCTTGCTGTGTGACCCCACATGAATTACATTGCTAGTCTGTGCTTCCTTCTCAATAGGGGAGATGATTGTATATATACTGCTGTTGTCAACAGGAAATGGGTTAGTGATTGTGCTGTGTTTGGCATTTCTGATAATACTCACTAGATGTTAGCTGCAATATGTACATAGGGTGCCCCCCAAAGCCTCATGTGCTGTGAGGCTGGGCTTGTGGAAGGTGTTTGGATCATGGGGACCCTACTGCTGACTTGCTGTTAGGAGGTGGGGCCTAATTAGAGGCAGGTCACTGGGGGTGTGGCATGGAAGGGTATATATTCCTTCCTGGCTCCCCACTTTGCTCTCTGCTTCCTGACTGCTATGATGAACACCTTTCCTCCACCCAGGCCCTCCTGCCATGCTGCTTTTGTGTTTAAGCCTGCTGAACATGGACTGAATCTTCTAAACCGTGAGCCAAAACAAACATCTCCTCCTTTAAGTTGTCATATTGGGTATTTTGTCCCAACAATGAGGAAAGTGACTAACATATATTTCTTCTAAAGTACCTTTGCACAATTGTCCCATTTTTCTTTTGCTTCTGCATGGCTTCAGCCCTTATTGTGGGTCCTGAGTCTGCCTGGCCTACAAAGTGTGAGTGCCTGTAACTCTCTAGAAATGATCTTCTTCTCTTAGAGGGAGAATCTAATTAGATCCCTCCCATCCAAGTCAGCCCCTGCTAGCCTTAGACCAAGGCTGGGGTCCCTCTGACACAGAGTTCCTCCTTGTTCCCAGAGTGAGGGGGTAGGGTCTCCTTAGTAGGGCTGAAGGTGAGGAGTCTCCTTTTTGAAAGTTGGGTTAGCATCAGTCTTCTGGATCATATTGTCAAGAAGCACAGGTTCGATCTCTCCTGGCTGGGATGCCAGGGAAACCCTTAAGGAGCTGTGCAAATAGTATTATGTATGAGGTAGAAGTTCATAGTAAGCTTGATGCAGTAGACAGGAAGGAACCATCATGGTGACTGCAACTTGCAAATGGAACAGAAAAAAGTTGTGTGTGTGTGTGTGTTGTTTCTGAACAAGGAAGGGCAAGAGAGAACTTGGTGAACCAAATTAAAAGGTATATGTATGTCCAACACACTGTTTTTTTGAAAAGATTTCATTACCAGTTTTAAAATTTTCAAAATTTTTTAAAATGGGAAAAATTACAACTAAAATGTTTGGTAAATAAAGCAAATATTTTCAAAGCCTAGGGTAGTGATGCACACCTGTAATCCCGGCACTCAGGTGGCTGAGACAGGAGGATTGCCCCAAGTTTGAGGCCAGCATGAGCTACATAGGAGTTCAAGGCCAGGTTGAACTACAGCGCAAGACTCTGTCTTAGAAAAAATTTTCTTAATAAATACATAAGTACACAAAATGAGTAGTTAGCAAGCCAACTGATGATTCAGCAAATCCTAGCTTTGTTTTCTTCTTTTCTCTGACCTTCCATTTTTGCATCTGTTAATGGGTTCATATTAGTGCCTCCTAACTTATTGAGAGGTTTCATCAATGCCTACATAGGCTCAAAAGGACTGATAGGTAGCTGGTAGGCATTGGCATGGCTGTGCTGATTATTGGCAGCTAGCATCCAATCTGATGAGGGGGATTGTTCCAGTTGTTAAAAATGTTTAATATCATTCTTCACCACATATTGTAGGAGCCAAATTCATGACACTTCTTTTATTACCATTATCATTATTGTGATTATCTTCAGCATCATTCCTCAGCCCTGTTTGGCTTCCCACCTTAGAAAAGAATGAAGAGAATGAGGCTATAGGAATAACTGCTAGTCAGGGGTGAGGGAAGTGGCCTCAGCTCCATGTTTCTGGGCACCAGGAGGGAGAACAGTTCTGACCCAGCGTGAGTTAGATAAAGAGATTTCAGCAGCATCCCAGGTTAGGCCAAAGTGTGCTCTCCTGGCCCAGAAGGGATAAGCTCTATTTACAAACCAAATGCTGGTGCACACTGAGACGGGAAAAGAGACAAGGGCTTTGGGGAGATGGAAGGATGGATGTGGAGGCATTGGGCCTGTATCCTTGGGTAAGAAGGAGAGGTTGAGGATTAGGGAATGAAGGGGATCGGGGGTTCATTGCAGGCATGATTGGACTAAGTACAGAAGGATGTGTAAAAGCTGGTGGTGTTTGAACCTCGTGCTTCTATTCTTTGTTAGTGTTGGCTCAGGATCCTTCAAAATAAGCTTGCTAAATGTTTCTTTAGACCCTAAATGGATGACTAGATGGATGTGTGAGGGTGGATAGATCCAACAGATAGATAGAAGCATGAACTGTGGAAGAAAGAGAAGCTCATTGAAAAATGAACAAATAAGTGAATGAATATTTGTATGAATAAATAACTGAAATGATTAATGGGGATAGAATAATTCAATGAATTAGTTGACGAGAAATAAGGAAAACATTTATCAAGGGCTTCCTAAGTACTAGATATTCTGCTAAGCAATTCACTTACATTATCTCATTTAATCTTACAACAACATATAAGGTAGGCACCATCGTCATTTCCATTTTATAGATGAGAAACTGAGGCACAGAGGAGTCAAATAACTTGCCCAAGATTACACAAGAAGAAAGCAATAGAGCCACCATCCCAGTGAATTCTTTAGTCTTTACTCTTAGCTACTATTGTACATTATTGACTTAGTCCATTTGTGGTGCTATAACAAAGTACCATACACTAGGTAGCTTATAAACAACCAAAATGTATTTCCCTCAGTTACGAAGGCTGGGAAGTTCAAGATTGGGATTCCAGCACGGCTGGTTTCTGGTGAGGGCTCCTTTTTGGGTTGCAGATGATTGACTTCTTACTGTGTCCTCACATAGTGGAAGCTGCAAATAATCTCCCTCTGGCCTCTTTTATGAGGGCACCAATCCCATCTACTACGGTGGTTCCTTCATGACCCAATCACCTCCCGAAGACCTTACCTCTTAATACCACCCCATTAAAAACTATGTTTCAACGTCTGAATTTTAGGGGAACAAAACATTCCAGGGGCCAGAAATGTGTGGATTCATTTTACTCCATAGATAGGTTGATCTCAGCCTCTCAAGCCAGATAAGCGATTCATTCATAGATTCCACAGGCATATAAATGTGCACCTACTATATTCTAAGTACTGTCCCAAGCACAAGGGTTGCATCAATGAGCAAGCAGACATGGGTATAGCTTATGCTTTAATAGAGATGACTGACAATAAATAAACACATGTATAATTTCAGATAGAAGTAAATACTTTGAAGAGAAGCAAAGCATGTAAGGAGTTATAGGGCAATAGGGGTAGTGTGGTATGGAGGGGAGCTGTTTTAGACTAACTGCTCACAGAAGACTTTACAGAGAAGGTAAAAAGACCTGAATCATAAACTGGGCATTGCACAAGGATCCAGGGAAAGCATTCCAGGCAGAGAGAATAGAATGCGCAAAGGCTCTGAGGCAAGAATGCACATTGTAGGTTTAAAGACTAAGAAAGAGGCTAGCATCACTGGATGGGGGTGAGTGAAGAAGAGAGAGATAGGAGGTACAATCAGAAAGGGAGAGAGGCACCAGATCTTTATCCTAGACTTCGTAGGCAGATACAAGGAATAAATTTTGTTTTAAAGGAGTCAAGACATCCGAATTGCATTTTAAAACATCCCTCTGGTTGTTGTAGGTTGTTATATCATCCTTGTCTTTAATCTAACAAAACACTTTGGTCAGTTAATATAAGAATGAAGAACATTTGTTTGTCCTACTTTACATGATTCCAACTGCCCTCTCTCTCTCCTCCTCTCCTTTCTTCCTTAGGAACCCATCTGTCATCTATTGGTACCACCTCCTGTGCTACCAGTGCATTAGTGGGAAGCCATCCATACTTTTCATTCTCTTTTTCTCTCCCAGGGGTCCTTGGCCTGACCACTCATTGCACAGCCCCAGCCAACAGAGAGAGAAAAAAGACAACACCAACCTATATGTCCGTATGTCCAATAATAGGGGATTCTTTAAGTAAAGTTTGGCCTTCAAAAATGATGCTGGGGATAAGTAGTTGCTGATGTTACAGCAATATTCTATACTATGGCAATAATAATGACAGCTACTTGAACACCTATTATGCACCAGGCTTTATAACCAATGTATTTTACTCTATTTCATCTTCTTGGATAGACCAATTCCACTTTTGTCCCCAGTGTATAGATGAGGAGCTTGAGGCTTCAGCATCTTGCCATAAGCCACTAAATGAGGACACAGCTCAGCTAGAGTAAAAGTCAGGTCTGTCTGATTACAAAGCCCATGTTCTCAATGCATACCACCTGCATGCCACTGGCATATAACTGGGCTGCATTGTTAGAGAAAGAAAGCTGGCTATTAACTAATAAGGGCAGCCTCAAGCCCATCTTCTTTGGTATCAAAAGGGCATACAGCTAAATGTTAAAAGTTATTATCTCTGGGTGGCTAATTATGGAATATTTTTGTATGTGTTTATGATTTCTGTAATTAGAAAAAAAGCAATAAAAAGTCTCTATGTGCTTTTCTTCTCTACTCAGCCCCTCTCTTCCTCCCTTGTGGCCTCTAGACCAGTTGTGGGCTTCTCTATGAATATAAAGCTAGCATGACCTCTTCCCTTTGGCCTCCTGGCTTTGCAATTTCAGCACAATTCTCTAGATTGCTTCAAATTTTGCAAGCATTCTAGATGCTGAGGTGGTTGCAAATTTTTCACCTCCAGGAACAGACATATTGCTTCTTAGCTGGGGGCTTGAATAATATATTTGCATGTGAGCCAAGTCCCTAATGTGTTTGCCATTTAGGGGGTGAACTTGTGAACTTGGTAATGGCCTCAACTCCTGGGGTCAGGGCCAGGGCTTTTTGGTGATAGGAAAATGACTTAGATCTGCTCAGTAAGAGGCTGGGCTTCGAGAATAAATGGGGCTGAGCCAGACTCTGTTGCCAGCCCTGAGACCTGACATCTTTCCTTCTGCAACAACATCTCAGGAAATGGAGGTCTGTGTGTGTCCTATGTTTGAAGGTAATTTCAATGAGAGATAACCCCTGGACTCTGCCATGTGAGCGTGCATTTATTCACAAAGACAATATTTATTAAACACCAACCCTCTCCAGGGCTATGCAAAATCCTGGGAATTCAGCAGTTGAGGGAAAGACATTGCATTTGTGGAATTCACAAAGTGGAATCTGTGAGGAAGACAAACACTGAACAAATGTTCCAGTGTACAAATGTAACAGAAGGTGGAAGTGTAGGGTGCTGCTGAAGCACATGAGAGGGGGTAGTGAGCCTGTGGATGCAGGAAAAGCAGCCCCTGGAAATCATGTTTGAACTATGAGTGGAAGGCTGCCTATGCATGAAGCAGGTGAGGAGCAGGGAAAGAAAGCATTCCAGGCTGAAAGGGTGCAAATGGAAGGACCTAACAATGTAGGGAGCAGGTGCAGGTGCAAGTCCAGCAAACGACACTGTTACATTTGCATATTATTTTAGGGGTGAGAAGAAAACTTTTGAAAGATTAAACTAGAAAAAATATTTTTTTTTCTAGGAGAGATATATATCATCATCATCATCATCACTATCATCATTATTTATAAGAGAGGAACTTGAAGCCTGCAAACATAAAGAAATGATAAGGACATCAAAATGCTAATTACCCTGATTTGATCAGTATGTACTATATGCATGTCCAGAAATATCACACCATATCCCATAAATATGTACAAGAGACTTTTCATTTTAAATGACAGCACCAAGCAAAACCAAAAGCAGAGAATGAAGTTGCTTCTCTGGAAGGGAGGATGCTTTTGTGCCAACACATTTTTCTTTCATTCAACAAATATGTACGCAAAGTCTGTGATGTAATAGACACAGTCCTGGATGTTGGAGAAATGAAGGACAAAGATCTTTAACTGTGTGGAGCTACTGTCTGGTGGAAAGAAGCAAGCAATAAACAATAAAACAAAGAAATAAATGATATGATATTGCATAGCACCAAGAGTCATGGAGAAAGATAAAGTAGCAAGGTGTGATAGTGCACAAATATAATCCCAGCACTCTGGGAAGCAGAGGCAAGAGGATTGGAAGTTCAAGGCCAGCCTGGACAACTTAGGAACTTAGTGAGATTCTCTTTCCAAAAAACAGGCCTGGGGATGTAACTCAGTGTGAAAGCCCTGGGTTCAACCCCCAGTGCTAAAAAAACAAAGTAAAGGAGGACGAGGAGACATAAAAATCCAGCGTGGCTGAATGAGTTGAGCTATTCCTGTCAGGTGTCAAAGATGTCCTGTAGAAGTTGCCATATGAGTGGGGAACTTGAGGATGCTAGGGGAGAGCCCTGACCTCTGATTGACCAGACCCTATCATGTGATCTCCCTTCCATGAACTTTCTGGCTGTGTGGCCAGGCTGTATGGGAGGCAGGTAGAGCTTTGGAACAGTGAGGAAGTCTGGATCCCCTTGGTCATTCAGAACCATGACCTTGGACATTTGACCTTGGGTGCTTTAATCATCCAGGTTTAGCTGACTACAAATAGAGAATGCTCAACCACAGAGTTTGCATCCAATTCTCAGTTGCCCCTTATGATTATTTTTTAAAATTCTTTTATTGGTACATTTTAGGTATACAATACATTTACATTTATCATTGGGTGCTTGTACCTGAACATGATGTTATCTTAGTTCTTACTTTTTCCCCCATTACCTGTGCGCCCTTCACCTCCTCCACCCTTCCTTATTTACATAGATTAATAGCAGCTTTAACTCCATCTCCTGATCACTGGTTGCTTTCTTGAATGCCTGTACTTATTGACCTTCTAATTTAAAATCAGAGATGAGCCTGATGAAGTGCAGAGCAGAACCAACACTGCTGCCCAGGTACATTACCACAGTGTGTTGCAGAGATGGAAATCTCCTGACGATATAACAGGCATCCATTAGGGAAGCTGAATTGAACCTTTGGTCATTAATCAGAGCCTCCTGATAAAGTCTGCTGCAGCCAGAGTGGTGTGTTCTTTTTTTCTTTTTACAGATAGAAAACAGTATCATTGTCTTTATCGATCTCTACTCCTATTATTATCAAAATATACTCTTTCAAAGTCACTCCCTGTAGCTCCCTTCATCCACCCTATCCTGTAGCCTTCTACTTAGAAAAGGTAGTGGGTAAAAGTAAAAGTTTGATGTTTAGTGTTCGATTTGCAGCCTTTTGGCTTGTAGCCTGGGTAACTTGTGACAAACTAAGCCTCAACATACCTAGCCATAAAATGGGGCATTCGTGCCGAGAGGATAAAATTACATAGTGAACTTGACATTTTTGGATATGACTTCCAAAAACTAGAGCACATAAGAATGACTTTAGTGTCTTTTAGGATTCAGTTGCATAGGCCATATCCACAGAGATTCTGACTCAGTAGTCCAGGGGTGTTTATTCCTGGATGATTTTCTGCAAAGGGTTCCTTAGGACATGCTTGATAAAAATACGGCTCTATCCTTCCGTGTTGCTGAGTATTTTCTCCTACAATATTTTCAGCCCAGATTGTGCACTGTTCAACTTTGTCTTTGCTTTAAGGTCTATCTTAAATGCCTCTGCTGTAACACCGTTCCCATGTCCTTAGGTTTGAAAGTAGTTACATTCTTACTTATGACTGCCCCTATAAGCTTATCTCTCTTGTATTATATATCCTTTCATTGTAGATTATAAACTGAATATTATGAGCTAAATGTTATTAGTTAGAATCATGAAAATAATAATCCAACTTGTGCTTATGGCTGATAGTCAAACACTGGTTGAAATTCAGTCAAGTCTCTAGGGATTTTCAGTTTTCAGTAACCAAGCCATTGTCCACTCACCTGAGTTTGCCACATTTTCATTTATCACAATTGCAGCAGCTGAACAAATATCTTTGGGGTTTTGCCATATATTCATATCTTCTAGCCAATTTTCTTCATTTTCAAAAAAGGAACCAATATGTATTCTTCAATAGAGACTTTTATTGACTCAGTCATTTATTCATTATGAATAATCATTACTAATGATGATTAACCATTCATGCATTCATTAATTTAATGTACCAGGCAATGTTCTGTCATGAGCTTCATCCCTACACAAGCTCAGTACATGTTGATGGAATTTCGATGTTGTATTGGCAAATCCTCCCAGTCTCTAGCTTTGGAAATTTTGCTGTCTTTACTGGGAGGTGGGTGTGTGAATGTCATTGACCTAGTCCTTTTTGTCATCTGAGCTGGTGCATTGACCAGCTTTGATGCAGAGCCATCAAGAACATTAGAGCTCTATTATCTTCAGTGCACCAGGGCGTGTTGTGTGAGACCAAAACACCGATGTACCAACAGGGGAAGAAAGGAATGCAGATTTTTACATTGCAATAAAGCTCCTATCAAGCACCCTATGAAGACTCAGAACAACTGAACGAATATCTGAGCTGTAAGATTGTATTTACTCTGACTTTCCTGTCGCTGGGAAATGTTTGTGTATACCAAAATCACCAGCTAATGCAAACCATTCAAAATACAAGGAAGAAGGAAACATAAACAGGGAAACAGAAACATCCTGTCAACCTACCCACAGTGTACTAATTATGTGTAAACCTGTACTGAGTATCAGATGTATATTGAGCACTTCTCTATCCCTTTCCCTACTTGGACTGTTTCTCAGCCAATCAACACAGCCCAAGGATGAAACAGGTTCAACATAATTGATGACATCATAATTAGTCATCATTGTCACTGTCATCATAGCAGACACTCATGTAGGTCTGCCATGTGCCCCAAAGACTACACATGTCACCTGTAATTCTTTGTAGCCACACTATAGGTGAGTTACTATTATTATTCCCATGGTTCAAATGAAGGAAATGATGTACAAAGAGAGTAAAGGACAGTATCAAATAGGTGTCAGATCTGGGGTTTGACTTCAGTTCTATCTAAGGCAGGTCAACTGCTAAGTGGATCACTTGCTCATCTGAAAATTGCAATATGACTGATTTGAGGGCAATTTGCTTTAGCCAATTGAGTTGGTGAGACAAAAGCTGGTAATTGGTTGAGTTTGGGGTCTTAATTTAAACCAACCTGTAATCAGATGCTCTCATGAGTATGGACCTGCATTATAGAATAACAGACCCATGAGTTCTGAGAATCAGCCAACACCATTGATTTCTCAACTTTCCTCTTGAAGCTCTGTCCTTTAGTGACATCAAAGGTCTAACTGAAATGAAAGAAGCCTCTTTCCTATCTCCTGCTTGGGTTGTGAGAAAATGGGACAGAACAAGATTCATTCAGGAATCAAATTGAAACTATACTACAAAGCTACTGTGATAAAAACAGCATGGTACTGGCAAAGAAACAGACCCGAAGATCAGTGGAATAGATTAGAAGATGCAGAAACAACTCCAGACATACTCAGCCACCTCATCTTTGACAAAGGAGCCAATTGCCC